ACCTTCTTCTTAAAGATTTCTCTCTTCTTAATTTCTCCTCTATTAATGTCATCCCTGGTTTTCACTCTTTGAGTTTTTGCTTGGCACTTGTGGCAAACCCTATTGGTGAGATTGAAACTGTGCCACATAGGGTTAATGAAGTTGGAACTAGCAGAAAGGCTAAAGCTTGTTTTTCAGAGAACTGTTTCTCCCTAATCAGCTACTATGTCTTGTCAGACTCTGCTAACAAATCCACTAGCAGTCTCCACAGATGCCTGGACTCAACATCAACTCATATGGTTCCAGTCTATGAACAAGCAAGGCCCTGCAGAAATCATGAGCCCAAGACCTCATCCAATTTATACTTGCTCTTAGAGCATGCCCATAGCCCCTCCCTCTTCCCCAATAGTTACCACCACCTCATTATAATATTAAAAATCTCTGCCCAAGGAGGAGTACAAGTTTCATTAACATACTGTATGATGCATGTACAGACATGGTTTCTAAGTGTACCTGCTCAAGCTTATGCCCACCTTTACATGTGATGACAAATCTCTCCTTTTGAATATTCATCCTAACACTAAATAAAAGGAACCCACTCATCCCTGCTCAGGAAGTCACGCTTTGGAAGTTATTCCTTATGATCTCCTTATTTGCTGCAAATAAAGTTTCCTTTGTATGACAATTCCACCTGGTATAGTCTCTATCTGTAACTCACTAAGGAGAAAACTCACATTGGTTTGGTTACAAGATGACCCAACTTTCCTTTTCAAGCCCATTCTCTTTGGTTCACTTCCAGCTGTGAGGTAACTATCTGACACAGTCTGGCTAATAAGACACGAGCTGAAGTCTGCTATGAAATTCATGGGAAAATTTCTGTTTTCTTATACAGACTCCTCTTCCTATATTTTCCTTGCTGATACTGATGTGATGGCTGGACTTGAAGGAGCCTTCTTACAATCATGAAGGAAAAGTCAAGAGATTCACAGAGACTTCCATAGTTATATCATTGAATTATATAAATAATACCATCAATTGCCTTCTCTGAACTTCTCATTATATGAGAAAAATAAACTTATAGGTAGGCCCCATAAAAAACATGGAGCTCTCTCCCATATTTTGGTGACTCCTTTGGAATTTCTTCTTTGGCTCACCAACATAGCTCCTCCCCGCTGCTGAGTTTCTCATTCTGACACTGAGCTTTCTGCTTAGTGTGGCCCCTTCCCACCAATAATACTCAATGTTGCAGACTGAGCCAGCCCATCCCCTCTGAGGACTGGACATTATGCTGATAACCCGGGCTCTTATGACCTTGTCCTGGATGACCAACTGTTTCCTGGTCCTTTCAGTCTCTTCCAATTCTACTTTATACAAGATACCATCATCAAGTAAATTTTCATAAAGAACATCTGGTAGTAACACCGAAGAGTCTGGTGGTACTATAATCAAATGATGTGCTAAAAAATCTTCAATGTCTCCTTTTGCCCATCACACTTACACATTCAAAACACTCCATAGTATAACTTTAATTTAAAAAATCCAGCCTTACATGATGTAATTTTTCTATATTTAACTTATACTCTTGGCAAATAAAATACTATTGTCCTTAAATAAATCCTGTCATTTCCCACTTGTGTAATACTGTTTGTCCTATTGCTTCTATCTGGAAGGTGTAAGGTCTTCCTCTTCCCTTTCTCTTCTAGAGATTATCCATTTATCAAGTCCCAGCTCAAGTGTCACCACTTCCAGGATCCAATGATTATTTAAAATGGAAGAATGTTCACTTACCTAGCATCTCTTGATATAGTTATTTAAGACTTATACAACCACAGAGTTTTCTTATTCAGGCACCCATGAGATTATAGGCTCCTTGAGGGCATTAATGATGTAATAATATTTTATTCTAACATGCAACAAATATTTATTGAGTCCTAACTGTTCTAGGTGATGGTGGTATGAACAAGATAGACCAAGCCCTTGCTCTCGTGGAATTTATGTAAATGGAGGGGCATGTTTTGCAGATAACAAGCAAGTGAATAAATACACAAAATAGGACAATCTCAGATTTAGATTGGATACTTGGGGAAAGAAGTTCTCCCCAAAAAGGTATTTGAGATGAAATCTCAGTGATAAAAAGAACCCAATCACCAGAAGACCAGAAGTTACAGCAAAGAGAAAGTCATCAAGTTAGGAGTGAGTGTGATGTGTTTGAAGAACACATAGAGGAGTATGTGGCTGGACCACAGTGTGGGGAAGGGAAATGGTGTGAAATGAGGTTATAGAGGTGGGCAAGGGCCAAATCTTGACAGTCCATGCAGTCTAAGAAAAGTGGTTTGGATTTCACTCTAAGGATTAAAACAGGGAGTAACATGATCTAATTTACAATATAAAATGATTTCTCTGGCTGCTGTGTAGAAAAGGGATTATACAGGGTCAAAAGAAGAAGCAAGATTACTTGGAAAGCTGTGACGGTAGTCAAGAACATGAGATAACAGCAGGTTGAATTCGGTGGTGGTAGAAGAGAGAGAAAGTAGACCCATTTATAGTTTCTATAGTATTAAGCATGGTATCTTGAAGATAACAGATGTTCAATGTATATTGCTAAATATATGTACAAGTGTTTCAAAATAGTTTTGCCTTCTTAATTTCTATATTGTCTTTAATTTTTTCCTGCTGTGGCCTAATATATTCCTGTTGGACACTTGGGGAACCAAAAAGACAAAAAAAAAAAAGCCCATATTCAAGGAAACAGTAGAAATTCCTTAACAATAGGTGAGCTAACAAAGAACTAAAATGATAGAGGGTCACATCGTTAAGTTAATTATGGAAATAAATAAATTACTTGCAACAAATCGTAAAAAGTTGAATTCAAAAGCTTTGATAGGATAAAAATGGACAGGGTATTGAAATACAAATATTTACATTTTAGAAAAGAGAGCCTCCATGGGCATCAGCTGGAATAGTGTGCCTATAGAGGATATGGCCAAAGTTAATTTTCATTACTATTGAAGACTTTTCCAGTTCTAACTTACTTTCAAATTTTCTGGAAGTATAAAGCCTTCATTTTACTATTTTGTGTGATAAATTTCCTGATAAGTAGCTAATACTTTTTTACTAGAAAGTAATATCTATTTTTCAGAGAGCATTGAATGTGACCTGTCTTGTTTCTAAGTTAGGAATCTGAGAAAAGACAGGCAATTTGGTAGGTTCTCATTCTCTTTCACATATACTTTCTAGGGCATTTAGATTTTTACCCATGAAGATTCACCCTGCATGATAAGTTCAATCCAAATTCCTTTGATAAAAAGCAAAATCCTGGAGAAAATGGGATCAATTTTTTGCCGCTTTCCACCTGAAATGCTAAATGGTCCCTGAATCGTGTGAAACTTGGCCTCAGTCAGTGTGAAAACTGGCTGAAATCGCTATGAAAGGCAGTCTGGGTTCGTCAAAGTAGTTCATGAACTTTGGCCAAACTTGCAAGGAACATGGTCCAAGTCTTAGTTTGTAATGCAACATGAAACCAGGTGAATTTCACATGGTTTCAGGTTTCACCCTGAAAATTTGGCCTAGCTTTATAATCAATCATCACTTTTTGGAACGATGAAAGCCAACACACCTTTTTGAAAATGAGGACTGCGTGCATACTGATGACAGCTAAGCTGTGAACCACCCCTTCACTTCCTTTGCCAAAAGAAGATTTCTCAGAATGGAAACAGTTTCCCCCTTACCTGGAAAGGGCAAGTTGAGTGATTTTGATATTGCGTGTGGAAAGAAATGATACTCAATACATGGAGACATGCCATGAGAAATAATCACCACATACAGAACAAGTGGCTGTATGTTAATCACTTAAGGTTATGAGAATTTTATTCCATTCACATCCATGACAGATATCATGATGTTTAATCTCCTTGACCACTAACATGAGCTTTTAGCTTGAATCTAGTCATCAGCTAGAATAATTGCCATGAGAAACAAAATGCTCTGTGGCACAATCATTATTATTCTGTAAAGAAACAGCTGAAAAATGGAAAGGAAAGTAAGTCATAGCATAGCTTTTATCTAATTTAGTAAACATGAGAAGATAAGGCTACAAACTTTTCAAGTGTGCATCAACTACCTCTTTGGCAATAAAACCCCTACTGCAGTATAAATGAATTCAATAATTGTCTACACACAGTGAACTTTACACAAAAATCTACACAGTTTCTGTTTTCAACCTGAAAGTTTTAAATGTGCTTTTCCACTGTAAAAAATGACTCTTCAACCAAATGCTCGCTTTTGTGCATAGTGACATGAGAAAATTGAGAGGTATGTCTGAACGGAGCCACTACATCATTGGAACAGTATGTCTGAACATTTGGGTAATAAGGCACAGATGTGAAGCAGAGTACTTGGCACTACCAAGGTAACAACAAAGCATTCACCATTGTGTTATAATGGTTAAAAAAGCCACGTTTGAGAAGAATAAAAGAATGCCCCTCCTCCCCGGAATGTTAAATCATATTTCACCTTTTATCTGCTTAAAAATCCATAAAAATAAGGAACTCAAATATTATTCAAATTTGTGATGAAGAATAAAAATATAAAATGAATTAATATTTTCATCTGTAATATAACATATTTATGCAATAGCACACAAAGTTCAACTGCAGAAGAAGGGCCAAATTCAACAGGAATCTAAATGGCCTCTATATTGCAAAACAATGCATGCAAATCTGAAGGACCCAATAGCCATTGAATGGGTGGTTGCTGTTGACTTTTAAGTAGTGATTCTGGCCTTTCATAAGCAGGGCTAATTACCGTACAGTCACCTGTTTACTGTATCAAATTAATGTAATGCTATAGGATATACCCATTAGTTATTATTAAGGCTATTTCAGTTACAAGTGGTATGATATTTTTGCCAGCTATTACTAAACCATGATACAAAGGTTGTTATAAAGCCAGGGCTACTTTAATTCAATAAGTTTGAAGCTGAAAACCAATTCTCTGCCCAAGATTGGAAGAATACAACTTACCCGAGGTCCCTGGTCACCTTGTTCTCCCTGTAGAGTAGGAAGATGAGATGATAGATAGTTTTAGCATAAAGTCTGTATGGGACGCTCATTAAAAAGACCAAAATATAACATAGCATAGATCATACCAGTGGATTTCCACTAACTTAATTTGTTTCTGCTATACAATTTCTTACCTTATCACCTTTTGGACCAGGAGGGCCCTAAAAAAGAAGAAAAAACAATTTTAAATAAATTAAAAAAAAACTGTAGCTTGAACAGATCGGCTGGTTAGTTGCAAGACTCATGCAAAGGGCACATAAGTATACTTGACAATGAGGTTTCTCAGGGAATTTTGAGTTCTAAACTATAATTGGAAGAAGGTTGCAATGTGAAAATTGTATAATACCTATGTTATTATATATACAGTATATTATACAGGATAGTACATATACTATACCATTGTATACACACACACACAGACACACAGAAAAGTACACAAAGTACATGTGTCATAAGTATGTAATATGCTGAATAAATCTTCACAAGCTAAACATACTTATGAAAGTAGAGCCCAGGTAAGGAAACCCAAAAGGGTCTGTGGTGACATTTTCTTGTCACTACCCCAACCACCAGTAACCACTGTTTCTGACCTCTGACAAAATAGTTTGTTTTTGTACTTTATGTAAATGGAATCATACCAGTATGTGTCTGACCTCTTTGCTTAGTATGTGTAAAATTTATGCGTAATTTTGTGTTTAGCCGTGGATCACTTGCTCTTACTGCTTTATGATATTCCATTGTGTTGAATAAACCATAATTTTTTTGTTCATCCTATTGCTTGGTGGACATTTGTTTTCTGGGTCTTGACTACTGAAAACAGTGATGCTATAAACATCCTATTTTAAGTCTTTTGATTAAAAACTGTATGCGTTTCTGTTGGGTGTAAATTTAGAAGTGGAATTGTTAGGTTGTAGAAAATACCCAATATGTTCAGTTTTAGTAGATACTGACAATAGTTTTCCAGTGTGGTTCTAACAATTTACACTCCCATCGGCAATGTACAAGAATTTCAGTTCCCTGTATCATAGCCAATACTTGGTATTTTCCATCTTTTTTTGTTTGTTTGTTTTAGACATTCTGGTGGGAGGCATAGTAGTTTCACACAGTGTTTTCATTTGTACTTCTCCAGTTACTAATAAGTTGAACTCATTTTAATGCATGTATTGTCCATTTTTGCATCCTTACCCATAAAGTATCTATTCACATCTTTTGCCCTTTTTCTGTTGAGTTGTCTTTTAGATTTGCTAGAGTGTCCCTCTCTCTATCCCTCTCTTTATTGCCCTGCCTGCTGGTTCTCTCTCTCTCAAAATAAATAAATAAACTTAAAATAAAAAAAGAAATAAAACTAACAAGAAAAAAGTGTATATATATATATATATATATATATATATATATAT